GTAAATCGTTTTTTGTTTTTGTTTTTGTTTTTTTTTCACGTTATACAGTGAAGAAGATAAGTACATAGACTCCTTCTATTTTTTTTTTCCAAAAAGAATTTTGTTTTTTCTTTGGACGATAACATACCTCTTCGTAAAACCTTGAAAATCTGTGGTATTTGCGCCAAGTCATCGCTGCAATGATGTCGATCCATCTTCAGCTTCAATGCACTTTCGATACCCATTTGTGAGGCCACACTGCTTAACCGATTGTTGCTCAGAAGGACAAACAGTGTACCGTTGATATATTTGCAAACCTGTGTGAACAAAAATCACATGATTAAATGTTTTAAAGTGCAGCTGAAAATTTTTGGTCTTAGATGGCAGCAAATAAATTTGCTACATATGAACGGCTTATAGAAAGACCTGGTTGACAGTAACACGTATTATATCTGTTATTAATTTCTGAAAAATTTTTTTGCTTCAAAAAGAAAAAATTATTTCTAAACTTGATTCATTTTTAATAACGGCAAAAAGCAGTAAAACAGTAACAATAACAGTAAAAAAAAACTGAAAAAAAAAAAGAAGAAAATGGTGATGAAAACGTAAAGCAAAAAACAGTTACCCATTTATTGTTGGATTTTAACAAAAATATCAGTGTGCTGATCAACTGATTAGCTATTCTAGATGCCGTCGAATGGCTAACTGGATTTAGGCTTAAGTTTAGCATCAATGCGCAACCAAATTCCAGAGCAAAATTGTTTAGATTGGTTTGCAAATAATGTACAAGCCATTCGAACATACCCAATGAGATCAATTCTTTTTGTACCCATAACCTTTAAACAAAAGAAAAAATTAAAATTAAAAAAAACAAAAAATTTTATATTCGAAAAAAAAAAAAAACCAAATTTTTTGCTGCTGCTGCACCTCCTGTGATTGAAATTTTTTACAATAAGTTTATTTGTGAATTGTTTATAGGAAAAATTGTTGATAACTTTTGTTACAACAGAACGACAACGCGATAACGACGAGAGGAATGATGACGGTGATGATGACGATGATGCTGATCTGTGAACATTAAAATCAATGTTTCCTGTTAACAGTTTTTTATGCTCTTTTTCAATTCTAAAAAAAAAATTTTTTTTTATCTCAGTAATTTTTAGTTTAGTTTGGCTTTTTTTAAATATACAATTCTTTTTTTGGTTTTTCATTTATATAGCAGCATTGTTTTTTTTTTTTTTCTGGCCAGTTAAAGAGTTACGTTGATTCGTTTTCATCTCTAATATAAGTTTTGAAATTTCAGAAGAAAAAAGAAGGAAATAAAAGTTTCTTATTAATTGACATATTAAAAAAGAAGAAATAATAAAGATGAATAAAAAAAAATAGTAAGAATAAATGGTAACTCAGTCACACAAAACAATAATAATTATTTAATAGCCAAAAAAAAAAACAATAAGAAGAAGAGGTAAAAGGAACGCTTTATGCGGTTAAAATATTTCTGAAAAATTTTTGATACATATAAAGTTTGTTCAGTGAGTTACCGGTTAACAGTGTTTTGATGTGATAGACAACTGTTAAAAAATGGTTGGAAAAAATAGGTTTTCGAAAGTTTTGATTACAAAAACAGTTTCGTAAGAATTAAACTTATTTCTAAACATTTGTTTTTTGTTTTAATCCATTTTTTTTCTTTTCGCTTTTTAATGTTGTTTTTTTATTTTATCAAATGAATAAAGATTAGATGTTGATTAAACAGTCAACCAAAATTTTGTTGATTCTGATTTGCACCTTTTTTTTTTACTTTTTTTTTTCGGCTTTTTCTAGCTAAGAGATTGTCATGAACTTAATCTAAATGTCTGATGAACAATGAAAATAGTTGAGAACAAAAAAAGAAGAAAAAAAGAGTTATTTTGATCTGTCCGTTGAATCGACTCATATACAAAGGTAGTGTTAAAATTGAGTAGAAATAAAATTACATTCCTTTCTGTTTCTTATTCTTTTTTGATTGTTGATTTTTTTTTTTTTCTTGGTTGCATACAAGAATTTTCAAGCAGCAGCAATAAATAAAAAGTAGAAGAATATTTGATGAGATGCCAATTAACCTGATACTTAATTTTTGTAGTGCAGCCAACATATGTTCAGATGCATAATTGGACAATTTTTTGCTCTTTAATGCAGCCAACACCGACGATATCAGTTCTTTACGTTGCCAACTGCAACTGATATAATCACGACCTTTGTAGAAGGAGCATATCGTATTCAACAGTCGTGCTACTTCCTCTTTCAATTGAATACAATTTTCTTGTTGTGCAACAACTAATGGTATTAAATTCTGAAAAATTCAAGAGAAAGAAAAAAAAA